TTTGTCATATTTTGTTTAATGTTATTTACACAGAAAGGAAGGTTAGATAACTGTTTGATAAATAAAAGTAGCCTACTTTACTTTACTATTAGTGTTTGTATTTTGTGTAAAATATTACATTTGGCCCACAGCCCTCCAATAGATTTTCATTTTGGCCCACTAAGGGAAAATGTTTGGGCACCCCTGCCTTAACCCCAGTTGCTCCAGAGACTGGCTGCCTCCTGCTCATTCAGTCATACTTTGCTTTGGATAAAAATGTTCAATTAAATAAATAAAATGCAAGACTTAAGACGTTTTTGGTAAAATTGAGGCAAATGTGATAGAAATTTAATAACAGATTGTTTATTTTCTTCAGACTGCTTGGATATCGGAGTGACTGGCATCAGCTTGGGAATTAGCAGTTCTTCTTTTCTGGACTCATTCACGCACCACACTGTTGGTCATTCCCCTATCGAGGATGAGGAAGCTCCGCCCCCAGGTCAGTGGGAGCCACTGGGATCCATGTCATCTTTATTCATGAATAAGTGGATTTGATGGTGATTTATCGTTATCCATATGCTAGCAATATATTCCAATCTCAGGGTGCCAATAAGGCATTAGTTATATTTCCTGGTGACTTCACTTGCAGGCATGCTCATAAAAACAACCCCTTATCCCCATCTGTCTCCTTCAGCACTACTGGTCCCTGTGTCAGTCCCAGCTCGATCACATAATCGGGGGGGGCTGACTTCACGGAGCAGCAAACCAGGACTGTAGCACCCCTCCCCTCCAAGAAACCAGACACACCTTAACACTGCAGGATACCTTTGAACAAGCCATCAGCAGTGACCTGTCACTTTGCTTTTTTATGAAAGGACTGTATGGCAGATCATTTTCTAGAGCCCTATTTTTCTATGTTTAGCTCACCTGGCTGCCAAAAACAGTCATAAACATGGACATTAATCATCTGGGTTTCCAGGCAAAATTATAAAGCACATCTATGCAGGTATTCAGGGAAACCAACTCTGGAAACAATGGAAAGAACAGTCTTTTACAAATAATGTGCTTGATATAGTGAAATATATGCATTTTCCAGTAAGCCATTTTGGATGAAGTCTTAGTCTATCAAATCAGGATGTGTCTGAGATCGCTTGAGAACACTGTGGGTGAATCTGCACAAACACCACCAATCTACGGATCTGTGATATACACGTCCAACACATGCAAGCTCTAAAACACCCTATCCTGACACACAAAAAACATAACGCAGACCGTCGTGGCATTCCCACGTTACTAGGACTGTATTTAAGTCTAGTCAATTAGCTAAGTAAGGCTTGAAGCTTATTATTGTGAAGTAATGAATTCCTACTGAACTCACTGTGTTTTTCTTAAATAAATAAAGAACTGAATTTCTAATGATTCTGCCATTTCCATGGTTGCCGTGGTTACATAATTACAAAATTTAAATGAAATGAATGCAATATATTCAAAAGTATTACATGCATCACATGTTTAATAAATCTTCCTCAATGTGAACAAGCAGCTCAGTCATAGTATGCATAAGTGTAATAGTACCTTAAAATGTCACTACTGAAAACCCTATGCATTTCGAAATGTACTCAGTCAACGTGGATCATTTTCTTCATTTTCCAAAAACTTTAGGTCACCAAGAGCCACTATTTTCAGGCAAATCATAATTGTCTTGTGGCTTTTCTTATTTTATGTACCACTTTTACTCCACGGTTGTCAGAAATTACTTAAAATTACTCTTGGTGGATTTTGCCTTTGATGGGAGTAGCTAAATTAGCTAAAATATTGGTTTTTGATCATTTACTACAATATTACAAACTAAACAGTTAGTTCCGTAACTTATATATCTCGCAGGATACCATGAGCTTTGAGATTTAGGGCTAAATCTCTTTCTGTGTCTTTTAGCCTCTTCCAGTTCTCTGTTACTGTAGCAAACCAAACATGGCACAATTAATGCTGACATGAAGTTACAATAGATAAGCACAAAAGGAGATCCAACATTTCTTCTAAATATTGATAAAATATTAAGAAAAAAGTTATATCAGAGACTGCATGGAGGATTCATAGCTAGTCTTCCTGGGTTCTGCAGAGTGTGAATGCCACTTATTTTCATGTCATCCATGTATTACAAGCTTGAGTGATGTTCCAGTTCTCTTTACCGCACCTCTTCCCATTTATAAAATTCAGGATGTCTTCCACTGTGACCTTAAAGGTTAGGTCACTTCAAGCGACACAGTACTGCGCAATAGGGCAAGCGTCATCATAATGAAGAATCTGGGTTAGATTCAGACTGTTCCACAGTCCGTTAAAACACTGCTATGTAGTCATTCAGCATTAAATACATGTTCCTAAAAAATTCAAACACAAGCAACATTCGGTTTCCATCCATCAATCAAACTGCTTGACCTTGGTGATAGCCGCTATTAAAAGCAATTCTATTAATTATATATCAGTTACCTGATATATATTTTTAAACACTGAATGTCGAGTAAAAACACCCACAAAATAAACTCAGTCTGCATGCAAATGTCTGGATTCAGCAGAACTCTGTGTTTACAGGATACTTAACTGATTTTACTACTTTACTACGACTCATACGAGACCTTAATCGCTTCACACGTTGCACCCCTGCTGCCACGTTTTTGAAGACCGAAGTGATCGCCAGACTCAGCTGAAATGCCATTTTATGAAAGACAAGTAACTTATTATTAAGATTAGAAACATCCAAAGATTTTTCAAGGTAACTAGTTACATGGAAATAAATGGACATTACAGGGAAGTTATGCTCACGTTGTGGGACTTTATTCAATTCAAACAACACTGAGTATCTCAAACTATCTCCAAACCACTGGGGTATTTTGTAATCATTACACAGATGCTTTGTTTCTGAAATCTCAGGAGTAAATTTTGTGATTGTGCAGAAAATACTGGTGTATGTGGGTGTGGATGCTTGATATTTTGCTTTTATTACTGTATTTTAAAGTGGATCTGAGCCAACAAGCCATCTTAATGTTTTTCGGTTGCTTTGTTTACGTATGTAATTTTGGTGTGTTTGGTGATTAAATGTAGATACATGCGATTGAACACTGAATTACACTCTTTTTTTCAATTAATGTCATAGGCACAGCTTATGTAGTTAAATTAAGACCTGGATATGTGAAGCAAATTGTTACATTTTTCTATAATATAGTCAGAATCCTGTAATTAATATGCCAATTGGTTATAACTGCAATATGATCTGTTCCCCAACCTTTTTCTGTTATTTATGGAAAAATTAACTGAAATTATTGCTGTTGATCATCTAAATCTTTGCTTACTGAACAAAATGCTGTATTAACCTAGATCTGTATAGAATTTCTCTAGGAAAACAGCCAGTTGCATTATGGATACAATTGCTTTGATTAAAATAATCAGCCAAGCAATTAAGCCAACATACCAATGGTGTGGTGTTTTTGGACAAATATCCAATTTTATTCAAATGCTATCATGTGATAGTATTTGAAAATAATACACCTTCTTATGGAATTATTGCAGTTATGTTTAATAAGGAAAACAAATTGTATTTTCAGACATACATATTTTGCTTAATAAAAAAATATTGCGAAAAACCTTACAAAAAATGATCGGATGTACAATTTCTCTAAAGTAATAATTCCATTGATACAAGTGTCAGAACACAATAATTAAATGGTAAGAATACAGAACCTTATGAAAAGACTGTCTTGCTTGTAATTGCTTTGTTACCACTTACATGTCATTAAACTTGCCTTTTTAAAACTGAAAATAAAGTGCTGTCACAAGAAAATGATGAGACCTAAAAAAACTGGTATTGCAGCGCCGGTGAGAAGGCTCCCACTTTCGGGAGCCAATTAGCATTTCCCAGCATGCTCACAAGCCTTGTGTATAGCCCCTGTGTATGTCTTGTTGTAAATTGCCATTCTGAGGATCTGATTGTCGCTTGTGCCCTTACCTGTGTTTGTACTCCGTCCTTGCCTCATCCCTGCTTGTCTTTTGCCATTATGCGTATAAATTACCCACTGTCTGTGTGCCTTACTGTCCGATGTCCGACCTCCCTACCCCGTTATGTATTGTTGGAGTTGTGTTTATTGTTTGTGTGGTCCTTTTAAGGGCTAATATTAAAAAGTATGTTCTCTTTCAAACAAGTGTTGCCTCTGTTGTTTCTGCCACCACGATGCCCGGGTCTGCCGGATATTATACTGGTGTCAGAAGTGGGATGCCAGAAGCAGCCCCACTGGAGTTGTGCGGATTGTCTTGGACATTTTCCTGACAGCCCGCTCCAGCCTGGTGGACCTGCATGCAACTGCGGAGTGGCGGAGTGGGAGAAGTGGTAGCGATAACTTCACTGCAAGGCCAACGCGGGATTGCAGGGATAGAGACAGGAAGCTCATCTGCTCGCGCCGCCGAGAGAAGGGAGACCAGGCACACTGCTGTCGAAAAGCCCATACCAGAGCCACCAGCAGACGGAGCTGAGAGAGGCGCAGTGAAGGAGGCACTGCTCCAGTCTTGTGCAGTGCATCCTGAAGCTGATCCTGCCAGTCTGCCAGTCCCCCATCAGAGATGACGTCAGCAAATAATAGAGGTTGGAGCTTCCAGGGACTCTGGCTATTCGCCGGTCAGCAGGAGGTCTTAGCTCCCCAGCCATAAGCAGGTGTGCCATGCTGGAGGCTCAGGAGTGCCGAGAACTCCTGGAACAGCAGCCTGAAAGCCAGCAAGACGGCGAGTGGTTGTGGGAGGAGTTGGCCAGTTGGGAGCGTGAGGGTGACTAGAAATGGCAGGTCAAGGTAGTGGAGGTGGCGTTACTGGGCTGCAAGACGGCACTACTCGGCCCTGAGGAGGCATGTCGCATTTTAGAGACCGAGCTGGACAAGTGGTGGGTGCAGATTGAGCAGGATGAAGAGCGACTGCAGGCAGACATGAAGAAGGGGCAGCACACCCTGTAGAAGCTGGAGACAGAGATGGCCTGCTGGGAAAGGCTGCGCGAGTCCACCCAATCCAGGGAGCAGCAGGTCCTCACCAAGCCGCGCAAGGCAAATGGCCGGAACCGAGGGGGCTGCCGTTCCAGGGCCAGCCAGCCAGCAGCCGAGTGTAAGCCTGCCTCCCAGTCTCCTCTGCCTCACTAGCGCTCATGAGTTCAGGAGCTGACGGCTCCACTCCATCATTGGAGATGTCAAAGTTCCAGGACTTGAATGTGTGGTGTTAAGGACAAAGCACACTGTAATGTATTTAAAGGAGGGAGATGAAACATTTTTAATGTACACCATAGCTGGTGCCTTGCGTGACACCTGGCACCAGATGCAGACACTTGATCTGTGTTAGTTTATTAAGGCAAAGCACAGAATACACAACAGACACTAAAACAGATTGCTACATCATACACTAACCGCATGCTTAAGCAGAACACTGTACACATTACTTTAGCAAGTTTCTTATTACTCTATATTGCTTCAGTTGGATTAGAAAGATTCTACTTAAACACAACGTCTCAGTAGCAAAGATGTATTCCTTGTAAACACCTCCTCTCTTTATTTTAATTTCAACTGGAACATTTTTTGATAACTGGCACATCAAGAACAAAACAACAACGGCTTTGCAGGTGCGATTCTGAACTGCTTGTTGTTCTCAACTTCTGGTGCTGATGAATAATTCTTCAGATAACATTAATTGGAATGTATAGTATTCCTTAATTGTCTATTTTTGGGAATGCATTATGCATATCTTGTTTAGTGCTTTCACCTGTGAGTTCAGTGAAAGTTGGAGACACGAAAATAGAAACAGTCAACACTCCTTCCTGGTGCGCACTGTCTTGCTGTGGTATTTGACTGGAATTCCCCAACGTCTCATCAAATAGACATCAAATAAGTATGCAGTTCCAGGTTCCAGTGCTCCAATGGTCGCTGTAGTAACAGCCCGTCGTGGGTTCAGCTCCTGGAAGTATTTACAGAGGACCCTCTCCGTTTCGCTGCGTGACTCTGGACCAAGGCACTGTTGCCTACTGGTGGATTCTCCATCCTTAATCTTGCGCCGATACATGCAGTACAAGCTTCTCTCCTCCGTTCCAAACCAGGCTAAAGTAACAGAGTTGCAGGTCCTGAGTTTGTTGAAGGACTTTATCTGCAGTGTAGTGGGAAGTGCGGGGACGGCCTGACGATGGTAAGCGGATGAGGCCTGCATTTTAACCATAGGCCTTGACACACCCCTAACTGCCTGACCAGGACTCATGTCTTCCAAAAATATCTGATATACAGGCTTTCCTTGCAGCCATATCTGTGCTACTGCCTCCCCCACCACCTCTGATGCAAGAATTTGCTCCTTGTTAGAGACTGTGACCTTCACCTTTTGGCCAGTGCAGCTCTGGAGCGTAAGAAGAGCACTCTGTTGCCAGCCACGGGGACGGAAGCTGAAAATCTGGCTACCTTGCCGCCCAGTTCCCTGAAAAGCCACCCACCTGAGCTCACCCTCTCCTAGAGGGGTAGCTATTTGTCGGGCTTCCTCATGCGTTTGCGCAAAGGTCCCCGCATATGCTGAGTCAGTGCCATTGACTGTGTCTACCACAAAAACATCAAAATAGTATAACGTTTCTGGAATGAGCTCTGACACCGTACACACACTTTCCATGCCTCTGCAAGCACACTGTAGTTCATCGGAATTGTCCAATAAAGTCGATTCTCCTGATTTCCTGAAAGAATCCCACTCGTGCCTCCACCACTCACTCACATCTGGCCAGACTGTTAATTTTTGCTTCTTAGCTCTCTTCTTTTCACTTTTCATGTCCTCTTGGGCAGTACACAGACTCTTATAGTTTTGCTTTTGGTTAACCAACACACAGTAATGGTAGTTATGGCTGTTTTTTTGGAGTTTCAGAATAGAAGCACTAGGCTTCCAGCTCAGAGTGACACTAGTCATCCCTACTCCCACAGTATGTACACGGGGATCGGGAGGTATCTCTGGAAATATTCCCGGCACCCCGTCTCCCTCTTGAAGGTATACAGAAACTCTAGAGTCCTGTACCTTGGATTTTATCTTAAGGATGTAGATGGATGCTGGAGACGCAGTGTGGCCAGTGTAGGAGTCCACAGTGTTGCCTTTAAATGTGTACATTTTTTGCTCTGTTCCAGAGCCTCTCCACCACACCTCTGGCATACTTTTCTTGGAAGTCCCTGTAAGAAGGACAGTAATTATTCTTGGCATAAAACATCTACATGTCCCATGCAGACAGAGGCAATAAAGTTTTTCCCATATCTATATAACACATTTTACGATAATTATTCCAAAGAAAAAGAATAGAGATCTATTGTTATATATCCATCCATCAATTTTCTGGTCCGAAGCCTATCCCAGAGGCAACGAGTACAAGGCAGGGAACAACCCAGGATGGGGCACCAACCCATCACAGGACGCACTCACACACCATTCACATCTCTGGGCAATTTAATAACTCTAGTTCACCTCAGCATGTTTTTGGACTGTGGGGTGTAACCGGAGTACCCAGAGAAAACCCCATGACAACATGTGGAGAACATGCAAACTTCACACATTTGGAGCCATGGTGGGGACCCTGAACCCAGAGGTGTGAGGCAACAGTGTTAACCACTACTTGGTGAATTCCATACCACCTCACCATATACCAAAGTATTTATGCATTTCACCCAGTTCTTCCTTAGTGGCTCTGTGTGTTTTGTTCTTGTACGTCTCTCAACACCTTTACAAACCTCATGTTTTCTTCAGTCCAACACTGGCAATATGGAACATTAACACTTTAAGCTTACTTGATATAATCAGGCACCAAGAGCCCAAGCTACAGCTTCCCCACAGGAAAAGACTGGAAGGAGCTTCTCATGTGCACCTTGTCACTGAGTGGTAATGTTGTATAGCCTCATATTGACAGAACACAAACTAGGAGCCTTAAGTTTAAGGGCAATATCTTCAATCTCCACTTAAAATGACAGAAATTATATTATTTTTGACTATTATAAAAAATTCCAAAACACTTCTTGATTAAAAGCTGAATAAAACAGAATAGAATTCAGTCCCTGAAGAGTTAACATGGAGTGAAAGACAAGTTTATGTTATTACTTGAATATTATGTCGTTTTACCATCAGGTGTAAATCATGTCCAAACTATAATGCATTCTGTAACCACGAGGCTCTTGAGGACTGTAAATGCTGACCCCTGGCTTACACTTTGGTTGATTTCTGAATTAGAATGATCCCTTTTACTCACATTGTAGGCTTTTAGAGGGTCTGTCCTTTATTGTCCTGGCTGCTAAGCTCCATTCAATCGGCACACCACACGGAATGACAGTGACGGACATCAAAGATGCCCTTTTCTTGAGAGTGAAGTACAGCCTGCAGGAAAACGTATTAAACTTAAACGGGATGCTTAATTCAAAATGGTCATGATAAAACTTTACATTACTCCTACTCCCAGGAATATTACACCATTGGTTCAATACTACAGAAATGTCCTCTACCGAACTACAATGATATTAAGCATAAAGTTAAATACATTGAACATTAATGAAATACTATTTATAATACCTTGTGGTCTCTTTCCCCTCCCCCAGCTATCACAGAACACAACAGAACTAAAATCAACTTCCTGTTGAGTACCAAGTCAACAGATATACTATGCATATGGTCAATATTGACTGTCCTAATGTTCACTATAATTCAGTTGTAACCAAGCATCCCTGGGACGAAGATGATCTGACTTTTTTGCAGTTTATCATCCCATTCTGACTGTGTATTTCACTTTTCTGTAATCAGTGCATACAACCCTGTGGAATAATCTTATCAAATACATTTTGTCTGAAATGTTTCTGATGTGATGTGGTACCTATTTATTTTACAGTGCAATTATTATTATGGTTATGCTTTTGTTTTCATTACACTCTTTAAACCCTTGTACCTTTAATATTCCTTAATGCAATAGCTTGGAATAAGCACTGCTATCTATCTTTTATAATGACTCTACATCATGCAGCTTTGTTGAAAGTGACCTGCGCACTAGGGTTGCAAAATTCTGGGAAGTTTCCCGTTCATTCCTATATATTCCTGTTAATACCCATGGAAAGTTTCCCACGTGGAATATTTCCAAAATTCCCCAGCTTAACTTCCCAAGGAATGAAAGTTTCTGGAAATTTTCCATTCCTTTGCAACCCTATGGCTATAAGATGTAATTAATTTGGACTTGTTTATATATTTTTTGCAATTTACACAAATAGCTATCTATAATGCAGATTTAGAATATTTAGAGAAGTATTTCAGTGAAATAGATATATTTTTTTTAGAAGTATGGATTTCCAGTCCTGGGATTGGATCATGTAAGTATCTGTGACAGAGTCAGCTACTTAATTATTGTAGTCCCTTCATTTATTCTCTTACCTCCGAGTCTGATCCTTTGGCAGAGAGATGGGGGTAACTTTGCCTTCTGGAAGCCAAATGGTGGGCCGTAGTGGCACCTCATTCTCAGGGTTCGAGGGTGGGGAGCCCTGAGACCACACAGTCCCCCAAACTAGCGCTGTCGCTGTTAGGCAGCGATACCAGGATAGGGCCATTGCTGACATCTGCTCTACACCTGTGCAGAGTGGGACAGAGAACAGGAAGAGAAGGGCCAAGCCTTACAGCTGGAGGCGATGTGTCAATCACATACCATCCAGGGGACGTGCAAACTTCTTCTGAGCTGATGATTCACTGATATGAGAAAACATTTCTCTTACTCAGAGAGAATTATTCATGTTGGGAATAAATTGCCCTGCTGTATTAGTCTGGGATCTGCATAGCCCAGCTTGACACTTGGAGAAAAAAATCACTCACAAGTTGACTATCAAAGCTTAAGAAGATGCAACTATTATTGAAGAGTATAATCCTTTGAGGACATATCTATTTATGGTAACAGAACACGTTATTTATCAGAAGTGTTTTTTTCCCCCATATTTCCTTACTTTCATGACCTATGACTCATTTGAAATGGAGAATACCTTTGAACATTCAAAAATCAAGAGCCTTGTAACACCATCCAACTAACTTAAATGTTGACAACAGATTTTTTTAAGGTTTAACATTTAAAGATTATAAAAAGACAATCATCAGAAATTTTCTGTTAGAATATTCCTCAAGGTTATTACTTAACTGATTCCTCAACTGAAAAAGACATAATATGTGAACATTTATTTTTCCATATAACAATTTCTTATAGAAAGTTGTATTGTTTCTGTGCTGCCTACAGTTTACTGATGGGGATTGAACCAAGATAAAGGAAACAAAACAGCGTCTGCAAAGCCTGAAGATGAGAGAGGAAGACAAACAAACCACTGATTAGTATTTACTGCTATCCTATTGTTAATGGCTCAATAAACAGCACACGTCTGTCACTAAGTGATTAACAGATTGAGAGCCGATGCAGTGAATCAGTGTGGCACAGTTGTCAAAATGCACCTTGCATTAAAAATGAACCCTTCTCAGCAATTATAGCCTATTGAATTTTCATAAGCCAAAAACGCAGATGAAGGCTTGCTTTAACTTCGGCATCATTCTATAAATATACTGCTCGCCCAGAAAGATTCATAGCACGGCAGCTACATTATGAGCGTAACTGAGTTAACTATACTTAACACCACTGCATCAGTAATTATCACAGAGCGCACTGGGCGAATCAATAGTTTCTTCAAATGACAGCATGTGTGATGTATCAGGTTCCACCTGGCCCATGACGATTTCCCATCTGGATCAACATCATAGAACGGCAGCACATCACGGAATCTGTGCCCGCTGGGTTTCCATCCGCTCCAAAAGCTCCTGATTTGTTGAGAAGTTCCAAGAGTCCTGATGTCAAAAGGATACAGGCAGCTGCACCTTTGTGAAATTCCTATGGCTCCTTCCCTCCCATTCTCAGTGTGTATTTCCCTGTGTCAGCTGCGCTGTCTCCGATTTGCCCCCCCTCCCTCCGTCGACCCCGATCCGCGAACTCACTCCAAGCATCATGCTGCATCTCATCCCGAAGAGTCACAGAGACCGACCGGGGGGGGGGGAGAAAGTGGATAATAAAGAAGGGAGAAGCGGAGGACCAGATTTGAAGTGGAAACTCAGACAACGGGGGGGGGGTTTGATGGGGCAGAGACTCTCAGCATCACTTACTCAATACAACAGTATGGTAATAAATGTACAGCAGTTGTTTAAAAATCTCCTCAACGCACCTGTAGAAACGGTCTGTAAGGCAAAGTTTACAATGAACTGCAGGACCAGACGACGATGGCGACCATCTCCTTACCCGACATTGTGAATTCAGTCCACAGAAAGGAAGAAGCATTAGACGCTGAAGACCGGCGAAGAGAACCTCTCGTCAATCCCCAGGCTGGGATGATGTAGGTAGAGCACAGCCCCACCCCCTATGCCCTCTCCACCTTCTGACTTCAGGTGTGCCGGAGATCCTAGCAGATGAAGCGAGAAGGTTGCACGTGAAGCCCCAGAGCTTTGATCGTCGACTGTCAGCCTGAATGCTCCACTGCCAGTCTGCGCTCTCCACCCCCCCACCCCCCACCCCCAAGCCCAGATCAGAGCGGTCTGGTAAGTAAGCTGCACAAATCAAACAGGCACGCACATGTGTGTGTGTGTGTGTGAGCAGTGTGTGTGAGCAGTGTGAGTGAGGAGGGTGATTGGAAGATTGGAGTGGTGGGGGTGTCAGAGATGGTGACAGAGGATGGGGAGGGGGTGTTGTTGCACAACTTGCTCGCATTAACTGTTTGTTAGCCAAGCATTGAGGGCCCGCACTGAATGGCAACTAAAACACTTAAGGCCTCCGTTCTCAATCAGGGTTTCTTCAAGTTTACTTGCACTTTACAACCAATGCTTTGTTAAATCCTGCTGGTGCTCAGGTAAACTTTTACAGGCGTTACTTCTCTTAGGAATACTTATGTTTTATCGATAAATTATAGGGAGGGCATATAGGTAAATCATGGTGACTTCTGTTTGAGAGTTGGGTTTAAAGCTTGTGCTTATAAGACTGAATAAGCCATGAAACTGCAGCAATGTTTCCAGACTGAAAGGAGAGACTGTGACTGAAAGGAGAGCAGGGTGGAGCCCAAAAAGCCCAAAGTGTGATGGTAGCGAATGAATTGTGGGCGGTGCCAAGGGCCCCGAGGCAATCAATGGTTGGTTGCCCTGTGGGTCAAGTACCACCCTCGAGAGGAACAGAGTACTTTCTCATCACCCACATCCTTCTAGTCACAATACAAAGCAATCACAATAGCAAGTACATGCATTGTTTTTTTTTTCCAGACGTGCCCCCACTAATCTGAAATTCCAACAGAAAATTTAAACCCGGACCGCATACCAACACTTTTTCCCTTCAGTGATGTGCCGCAGCTCTTTCATGGACCGCTGGCTTCACATTGTTTACAGTGGAGTAGATCATCCCATCGCATACAACTTTAACAGCCCCGGAGAAACAGCATAGTGCAAAATGTGCTCAGTCTCCCAGCAAGACCCCAAACCCCAGGATTTGCCCCATTTTTTATTCAAAGCTTGAGCCTTGTCCCACTTTCATAAAAGTGTCTTGGAAAGTTTGATCGCCTCGCAGAGGATGATGATTATGAGCCTGAAAGAAATTTTAATGAATTTTTATTTTTTAGTCTTTGCGTCTTCTTGGGTTTTCCCAGCTTATCTCCAGTGAACAGGTGCTCAAGCACATGGGGCACGATGCTTGTCCTGCACATTCCTGCTCCACTGCCTCCTTCTCTGGTGTCTGGGGCTTCAACAGCTCTTCTCATGCCATCATCCCTGGCCTCAATATTTTCTTTGATCATACTACATTTCCTCTCTTGTGTTCCTGTTAATAATTAATGGGCAAGCAGTTACTGGACGCCTTCGTCCTTGGAGAGAAAGAGCAAATTTAATTTAAATAATTGCATGAAAGAAATGCCAAAAGTACCCGTTTATTTATAATTTATGGATCGTTACGTCGCATGCATAATGCATGGCCGTCTTTATTATGATCATTTATTAAATATCATGTTTTCCAGCAGCAGTCTCAGGCGTACCGCGATATTTGCAAGGTTAGACCGCGGAGCTGCTCTTTTGGAAAATGCACGTCTGCAGACCACGGGTTAAAAAGGAATCTTTATTTTTAACTACACATCATCAACGGCAACCCATCTGCTGCTGAGTTTGCAAAGCTTCTCCCGGGACAACACAATATCTCAACATCTTAGAGCATGAGAGTCGAGGGGCGGGGTTAGGTTCTGGCGGTGAGGCTAACAGGATTATCCGGTGGGGGTGGATGGTGTTGTAGGGCATACTGGGGAAATTAATGTGAATTTTTTTTTTTTTAGCGGGAGCTTGTTTTGTAATGGTGAATGGGGCAGACGACCCCAGGAGTACTCGCTATCACATAAAAAGCCCGCCCCATGGGAAACTTTATATTCACAGCCCCTTTCACAGACGTCTTGCCTTTACCGACTGTGTTAACAGCTCTCCCTAAAGGAAACGCGGCGTGTTCCCAGTAGATACTAAATGCATGGGTTCACTTCTCTTCTTCCACAGCCAAAATAATCCCCACCTCCCTCCATAACACATCGAGCTACTTTCCAAGTTTTCCTTAGAAGGGGACTCAGGAAGAAACAGTGAGAACTTCAGCAGTGGCACGTAAATCTCTCTTTTACTGTGCATTTGTGGAAATTTTCTCAGATTCACCTGAGACGTCTTGAACTTTGCATCCTGGCCAAACAAACGTGATGACTTATGAGACACGATGGAGGCAGGAAGCTGTCACCCTTGGGCAAAACCGCCGTCAGCTGTGGTTGGAATGAAAGGCTGATTCTTTTAGCTTCCACAAGCGCATCCGTTTAATAAATCTGTCCGTCTCGGTCCTGTGCTCTGAATCGGACATTTCCACCTTTTTCCGGTTACTCTAACGCTCCACTTCTCTTCGGCAGCCTTTCTCCTAAATATTTAATGTGTAGTTTGTGTTTTCCCACACTTCTGCTAACTCCCAGTTAGAGTGCATTACTGTGTCCTCTACCGTTCTTTTTTTCGTGTTAAAAGTGCGTTACTACATTCCTTTACTCTCATCCAATTTCTTTTCTTTCTGGTAGATTTTAGTTGGAATTACAACAGAAGTTGAAACTATTATAAAAGGAGCTGCTCCCGTAAATATAAATTATTAGGCATAATGGATTGGATTTGATTTGAATACTTAGCTGATTTTTTTGTCTGTGTTTGTTTCAATGACTGAAACAATAGAGCAATTTTGCTAGTCAAAAATCAGTTTGAATCCAATGACATTGCCAGTATTCGTTCTGCTTCAAAACTCCTTTGAAGTTTCTCAATTTCTTATTAGGCCTACTGAGAATTTGACCATAACAAATTATTCATTCATCTAAAGAACATTTTTTATGCAGGACTTATACACATTGACAGTTAATTACAGCATAAAGTCATATGGACATTTATTAGGGACCGACATGCTATGTTGATGAATGTAGGCTTTTAAAAACAAATGTGGTCAAAATGCAATATTTATGCAGTACTAATTATAACCACTAGGCGACAGTACGCGATATAACGTTTCAGGCAATCATGACAGACCAGTATGCTGCAGATCAAGCTAAGAACATTTAGCGACGATACTGTCGAAAAACAGTGCATGCTTGATACTGCACTTCAAAGGTTATTGTGTTCCGCAGCACATAATTTCCGGGAACCCATCTTCATAGCTGTGACAGAAAGAAGCAGAGACCTATTAGTTAATTGATTATATTAAGAAAAGTATTAAAATTACACAGATATAAGAATATACTAGAAAGCCTAATAACATTTATTTGTTAAGCAGATGCCTCTGTTCAAGTCAGGATCATAAAGCAGGGACAGCCATTGTCCCTGGGGTCATTTGGGTTAAGGACCTTGCTCAAAGGCTCTAAAGTAATATAATTACTCTGCTGCCCACAGGATTTGAACCCATGACCTTCTGGAGATGGGCAACATATCTCTAACCCATCCAGCTGTACACCATTTGGGTATGGTAGATGGGAATTTAGAAAGGGTCAAATATAATTTCAGTTTTGTATACAATCTGCACGCTCATTATGTCTTTTTCTGCACAAACTGAGAAGTCCAAATGAGTTCTGTGTAGATTTTTGGTCTTTGCTGTTGGAGAGTGTCAACAATTTACACTAACATGTGAAGTCTTGGAACCAGCCCTCAGACTGATCAACCAGGCAAGCAATCCATTCCTTCAGGGTCACCTTCCTGTCCCTGTTACTGTCACATGATCTGGAAAATATGTATATGCACAAATAAACACACACACACACACACACACGCGTAAGTTTATATAAAGCATATTTATGAGAATTTCCTATGAGTTAGTTTTTACTCATAATCCAAATCAACCAAAAAATGAAGGCCAAAATGAAAATGTAAAAAAAAAATCAAATGTTTTAACACTTCTTTTTCAGAAACACATATCTCTTGTGTCTTTAGTTAACTTACTTTGATTGAACTGTGATAAGGGACTGTGTGAGGTTGCTGTCAGAGTGTAACTTTCTGGAAAAAATAAACTTGAAACACCATACCCTACTTTTTCAAATGATTAATCCCATTTGTTCATGGACTATGCAACCTAATGAAAATGGGGTCTGAACTCAGACAGTTTGCAACCCTTTGATTACATTATAGATCCACCATGGGTATAAAGCAAATGTCTTGGCACAAATCCTACATCAATGTAATAGAAAGAATGCAAGTCATCTGAGTTTGCACCTATTTTTTGTTACTGTGTGAATTTTCTCATCCTGGTGGGTGTGTGTGAGTATGTTGTGCACCTCCACCCCATTTTCAATCTGAAAAATAGTGGGTGTCATGGCCCTGGGACCCCAATTTGCCAGAGGGGGGTGGGATTAGGGTTATGAAAATACAGGATAACTGGTGAATTTTCGGTATTTCAGCCCAATTTGACTTTATTTTTGCATAGTTAATGGCCCCTGAGGGTAAAATATGTGCGTGTGGGTGTGTGTGTGTGTGTGGGTGTGTGTGTGTGTGTGTGTCAGTGTTAGTGGCTGGAGGATCTCACTGGAAGAATCGATGGGCACAATGTTCCAGGGGCATCTGTTTGTAACGCAGCTTCTTCAGATCCCGACGGCTAAGCTTCCCGTCCTTGTTCCGATCCAGCAGGATGAATCGCCGCTGGTGATGTGGAGGAGATGTGGTGGGCACGGGGGTGCGTTTATTGGAGTGACCGAGTAAGACATGTGCGAGGGAGATGGGGGTCGGGGAAAGAATGATGGGGTGTTTCAAATGGAGGATAATATTTCCAGCTCGTTAACTTTCTCCGTGAATAATTTAGCAATTATTGATGATGTCTATTTATGCAGCTGCTCTCACATCTCCATATCGGCCTGGTGAGGATCGCACAGCGCTTAGGCCTTAAATCTGTTTGAAAACTTTAAAATACATCATTTAGCAATACAGCTGTATTGTGCTCTTTTTTCATCTGCAAACCAGATCTTGTGATGTAGTCCAACAGAATGTTACAGTACAATTAATTTGTTTCCAGTGGTTTTTAAGGGTAATTATAACCATACATGTTTTGGCCACATACTGATAAGTGATACAAAATGTTTTGGCCCAAGTAATAAACTATACTGGTTTCAATTATGACTTATACCACTGAAGGTTCACACTGAAATGAATGGTATAATACCTGCATGCCCATTGAGGTCATTTACGTGCATGCATGTAATGTAAGGAAACAGACTCTCAGGGTAGAAAAAAAAAGATTGGTTCAGAGAGATGACCAATAAGATTGTAGAGGAGGTGGGTCCAATACATCTGATTGGTTAGTCCTGGCTCCTGTAGTTACTTGGACCCACCTCCTCTGCAATCTGATTGGTCATCTCTCTGAACGAATTTCATTCTGCCCACAGAACATTTTTGCGTAAGTAAAATTCCCATGAGCGCCGCACTCACGGTTACCTCTACTAGCATCCTGCGCTCTTCATGGCTCAGGCAGCCCTGGGGAGGGGGAGGGGAGTTGAAGGATTGGCCCATGCGACTCAGCATCAGAAACCAGTCAATCAGCCGGTAAGGGAACTGTCCATATTCCATCTCGGCGCACACCGCTTTGGACACTGTTCAGAGCAGGATACTGTCCCAGTAAACACCCTGCTTATTATCTGAGCACAGGAATGTGCAGAAGCAGTGAGCATGCGTCACTAGGCAACGGGGAGGCCAGGGGTTGGAGGACAACAGTAACCGTACCCAAGCAAGGACCAAGGTGAGCCAAGCCAGTGCGTCGCCTCTTTCGGCAGGACTCTTTATGCAACAGACACTCACTGGCATAGGTCTTCCCCAGCACGCTGCACACTGCCACTCCCTGCCTTAAAAAAATACAAAAAAAGACACAAAGGCCGCTTTTCCACCGCACCAGGTACCGTACTTTCGGTACTTCCATAAAGTACCGAAAGTATGGCACTTCCTTTGTGTTGGTTTTCCACTGCGTAAAAACTGGTACCGTGCCAAATGACATCATCAGTAACCAGCCCTGACTGACATCATCATAGAGCGCGGCGCAGTATTAACGGCTGTTATTTCGCTGATTCAAACATAGAATACGTCCTGAGACTGGTGTTGTTGATTCATAATTAGAAGCTCGGTCAACCAGCTTTTTGCGATTATTCGGTATTTTGCTGTGTGTTTCAAAAGATGGCGGTTGTATTTTGTGTTTCAGCGGCACGCTATTTGCATAACCAATCAACAGCAAATATGTTTGCAAGTCCCACTCCAAAGTACCAAAGAAGTACCCCAGCTGGTTTGGCACTTTCGGTACTGGAACTTTTGGTACTGGTACTCGACCGGAAGTCAATGGAAAAGCGAAAGTACCGAAAGTACCATACCGAAAGTACTGTGCTTTGTGCGGTGGAAAAGCGCCTAAAGTGACAAGCACTGATTAATATTTCATTCAACCGATGTTTCCTTTCAGGAAGATGTACACGATCCTCATGTCAATGCGGTAAGCCTCCAACCTGCCCTAGGTAGCAGAGGACATTCCTGAAATGACTCTAATCCATTTCAGGCAACACATGTACAACGGGAGTAATTTTGAGACCCCAGTTCGATCTGGAGGGAAACCTGAGTAGCCAGAGGAAACCAACATAAGGTGGGCAGGAGGGCAATGTTGTGCTTACCCTCCATCGTGAACATTCAGCTGTGAATTTCAGAAAGAGACAACCGTATGTCGAGAGAGCATATGGTAAAGTGGTCTTACCTCGAACATTTCTGGGGACATATGCATTTTGGGATTAAGATACCACCTTGCTCCACCGCTTGGCATGAGGAGCCAACCGGACTGTAGCACTTCAACAGCTTGCACAGCTTCTCTGGAGAAAGCCAGAGAAATACTTACTTACATTAGTACATTACAAAGACCCAAGACGGTCAAGTCCGGACTTTATATGTGTTTGTGGGATGTTATTTATGCGTTACTGCTTTGCACCTGGGCTGGTTCGACCCCAATACGGCTGCAGTTTCTCCTCAGCTTGTCTCTGTTTCCTTTGGGCTCTGCTGCCCTGGGATGCAGCAAAACACAGATGCAGCCTCACATATGCACACATGACACGCACCGTACACCGAGATCTCCCCTTTCATGCACTTTTCAGTACTGATCCTCCAATATTACCTGAGAAGATGCCTATGGAGACTACACCAGTCATACAGTACTCAAAAGGCCCTGAACTTCAGATGAACCATGGTTACTCTTCAAATGAAGAACATTTGAACTTGGGATTGTTTATCCCTACAAAAACTCCCCACATGGAAAACATAAATCTATCATTTAGGCTAAAACAATTTCCCGGGTGCAAATGATCAAAACCGGTGGTGGTATTATAGTGGTATGGGGATGTTTTTCTGCTGAAGGATCTGGATGCCTTTCCATCATAGAATGAACCAAGAATTCTGATCTGATTAGAAAAATTCTAAAGGACATCGTCAGGCTATTGATCTGTGAGGTGCATCTAAATGACTGGAACCTCATTCAAATATTGGGGCAGGACCTGCAAATGTTGCTGAGCTACAGCAGTGTTGTGTGGAAGAGTAGGATAGAATTCCTCTAGAGCACTGTATGATCCAGAGCTAATTGCTAAATTTGCAAAAATGAGGAAAATCCAATTGCAGGTAAATACTTCACTTTACTGTACACTGTACTTTTGTTTCTTCATGCTATAAAGTGTCTTATTGTAGTCCTCATAAACAAAAAATTCAGTCTGGAGAGCCATAAATTGGGAACTGCCGGTCAACTTTGTACTCTTTGCCAGTTTCACATCTGCTGTGGACCCTCTTGATGAAAAACAGACCCTTCTTAATCCACAATACATTGAACTGCTGGTTCAGTTTACAGTCATGGCCAAAGCAAGCAGACCTGCGTATAACCAGTAAGCTATAATTGTAATGGTGCTCACCTCACTCATTACAGGGTGCAGCACCAGTATTGTGAGTAAGATCAGGTGCACGGCCAAATGCATGGTAGGGTCTTGGCCTGGACCATGAGGTGGGACTCACTGCAGACAGGAATACAGGTTAATCAACTGGGCTATAGGCCAGAGATTCTTCAGAGAAACTGCTTCTGAACACATAAATATTCGCCTTAAGCAAAGTATTGAACAAACTATTTTCTTTAAATAACTTCTGAAATGTAAGGACATACTATTTGGTAGGAGCGTAGATAGAGCACATTGTTAAAAATAGAAATATGAGTGCATTTTTTCTTTCTCTCTAAATGCCTTTCATTTAAGCCTTATAATAAATAATTAATAATTTCAAAATGATATGAAATCGACATTAGTAAAAAAAAACCTTATAGCTTTATTTTAATTTATTTTTATATGACCAGTGATAATCAATTTGACTTATACAGTTTTAATACAGTGATTTACTCAGATTAAAGGTAGAAGGAGATGGATAACCTTACTAGAAAGACGATTGCAGAAACAACAACAAAAAACAAATCACATTATTACATTTCTTGGTTTAAAATCTTCCCAAAGTATTCTACTGTTTAGCGATTCCGTCTTTGATGCAGATGTTACACACACTGAATTTTTAAAAATGTGCTTTCTTCTTCACCTCTGGCTTTTTAAATTAACTTTCCCAAACGTTCTACATGTTCTTTCTTATTTTTTTTGTTGTTTTTTTCGCCTGAGCAGCTACTCCTGATCTCTCTCCATTTTCCATATTTAATGAGAACAAGACACATAAAATAAACATGAACAAACACAAGAAAGAATATGTGAAAGACCCCTACATACCTCCTTGTTTTTTCTCTTCTTTCTCTGCGCTCTCTCAGGCAGAGAGGGATCTATCTGTGCTACTGTAGACCATGTGTTCTCTCTAGCTTGTAAATCTACATCCCTATGAAATCATGCCAGCTTCAACAAGAAGCAGCACTCAGTGTGAACCTGGCAGATACGGTACACCTGATCTGCACAGCCATATTTCGGAAAGTCACCATTGTCATGGATGATTCGATGGATTAGATGTTGAAACAAAGAAAAAAATTCCTCCTTCTTTCAGCAGCTTATCCTAGTCTGGGTCACAGGGAGGCCAGGCAGTGAAAGATGCAAGGCAGAGGTACACCCTGCGTGGGATGCCAACTCATGGCAGAACACATATATGCACACGCTGAAGGCACTTCAGAGATGAGAATTACCACAACTGCATGTCTTTGGACTGCAGGCAGAAACTGAAATACCACATGGAACCCTCAGGAGACCTTGGGAGAACATGCAAACTTCACACATACCGGGCAGATGCCGGATTCAAACTCCCAGTGCTGAAGGTACGAGGCACAGGGCTCCTCACTGTGCCGTCCCTATTAATATCATTGTGGCTTTTTCATTTATCTCCCTGATGGAAAGCTTTTGTTTGTTCTTTTTATCCAATAAAAAAGCAGATCACATTTTTCTAAAATTTAGAGAAATTGCAAGTAGATCTATCTCTACAGGTTTTGTAATTGTTTTGTAATAATAATACAGTATGACATAAACTCATCTTTGATTTAATGGCAATAAAAATCTTTTTTTTTTCCATATGCAAAACTAAATGAATTTAAACAAATCTTTTCAGCAACAACCTTTTCAACACAGTCATTACATTTTAAATGAATTTATGACTTCATCTACAGTATGTTATCTCTGTTTACAGGAGTTAAGGGTTAATTTTGAAACTACAGTTCAGACAGTCTCTGTAACTCCATTATGCATATCCCTACACTCTAGGGCCAAAAATATGAAAGTCGGACACTGAATTTGCAGATGGCTTTCCTAAATCTCATTAATTAAGCCTTTTTCATGTTCACTTGATTTGTAATTCATAACACTGGGTACTTTGCATAGAACGTTTAATGCCTGTTTAAAAAAAAGAGAATGTCTACTGAATCAGTTCTGTGAAAACAAGAGGAGATAACAGAAAGCACACACACAGAGTTTATGTATGTCTTTGAGTATATCTTTGTGGGGACTCCCCATTCATTTATATGGGGAAAACTCTAATCCCAACATGACGACCTTAACCCCTACCCAGTACCCAGCCCTGACCTTAACCATAAATAACCAAAGAAAATACGAGACTTTTGGCATTTTTAGTTTTTTGACTGCATTCTCAGATCTTTGTGGGAACCTCAAAATGGTCCGTACAACATCGAAATAACAGGTTTTTATTACATTGTGGGGAACATTTGGTCCCCACAGTGTAATATAAACATAATCCACACACACACACACACACACACACAAATGATTCAGGCTCCATTCATGGATTACTAAGATTACTTGTGTTTAGAGTGTCAGTTTTAATCCACCAATTAGTGATAAGCTCGATTTACGGTGCTTGAAGTTATTAACTGTCGCTCAATTCTACGGTCCTACAGCATTAAGTGTATTGCTTAAAGGCCACTGAAAACCACCAAAACTATCGTCTATTGCCATCTTGTGGTCATATAAAATCTTACATGCTTTCTGAATTGTGATGTTTATGATCAATAGGCCTATTTGAAAGTATTTAATGTATTGCATAAAATGCAAGGTGCCCTACCTGAAATGTAAGTGAGGAATGCAATTCATAAGAAATAAAACAGGTTTTGGAGATAGTCGATTTCAGAAATACTCCACAGTGCCCAACATTTTAATGACATTATTGTGTAAAGATTCAATAATGCAGGTCATAGGGACGTTAACTGAACCCATTTTTTGGTATTGATATTTAATGCATGAAAGCCTATGTGCGCATATATATATATATATATATATATATATATATATATATATATATATATATATATATAATGTGCATAATATACATACACACACACACATATATATATCAAATACACACATATATATATACATACATGCATACATATTTTTTTCCAAGTTGCAAACTTCCTACACATTATTCACTAACATACTTCAAATTTGACCATGTTGATACAAACTAACAACTGAATTTCCTGCTTCCTTGATGTCCATGTCCACTTAGCCAGACCCTATTTCAACATGGAAACAAGAATACCTCGAGTTCCTAAACGAATTAAATTTTTATAGCCTACTCTTAAAACATTCCTCAGACCACAGGAATACACCTGAATCTTAAAAAAAAAACCAAACAAACCATAAAAATGGTTATATATGTGTCAGAGAGGGTACAGGGCAAGCGTAGACATGTATAGTTAGAAGGCTATGTCTCACGATTTATAAAAACACACAAGTACAATTACATTTTTTATTAAAATAATTTTAGGACATTCTCCGCATTGTACTTTATCTAAATTTCCATCTAAACTCAAGCCATCCCTTTTGTCAATCAATCTCACTTTTTGTTTTTAAAAGTACAACATATTTATCGTGTATTAAGTAGGCTATGATAAACGGGCCGCATCTGATTGCTGGTTCCCCATTGACATCGTGAATCGTTATATATATACAGAACATCTAAGCTATATTAAATACTGGAATGCATACACATACTGAAGATCTAATTTAATTATTAAATTATAACATATGAGAGAGAAATAAATTTAAAAAATACAAAATGAAAAGAAAAATGAGAAATGATGCTATACGGAACTGATTGTCCCGTTTGCGCGTAAACAGCGGCCCGGAAGTGTGTTTCAGTGCCTGACGTCAGTGTCAAGGGTGGCGGAGAATGAATGATGGAGGGACGCTGGGCTGGTTAACAAGGGAGAAGAGGGAAATTAAGGAGTCTGATGGAATAAAAAACAGAATGCATGCAGTAAAAATGAAGATGCCTGTCGCGTTTCGGATGCGATCGTCTCAGTGAACAAGATGATCAAATTGTGCTTAATATGAGAGAAGAGCAATCAGTGGAGTCCAGGTGATTCTTGCGAGGCTCCACCTCGGAGAAGGAGAAAATGAAATGATGTGGAAATGAAAAGCATCGCAGCTCCTCTCCGACCACAGCAGCATCATTTGCTTTGGTCGTGGGATTTTTACAGAGAACTGACTGTATACCTGTATATCTTAGGCAGAAGGCTTATTAGTCTTACAGTAACAGATCGTGCATAACGAAGACATGGCAGATGAAATCTCATCAGTGTTTATAGTTAGCAAGTATCTGTCAGTAATATAGGCAGATTCCCGTCTGAGAAACGTGCAGTAATAACACGGCGCAACAGTCAGTCGTTTGTGTGCAGCTAAGCATCTCTGTGTATTTTGGTTGGTAGGTATTTCGATATATTGGACTTTATATACCCTTAGTGTCGCTGAGACGGAAGCTAGTAGCTATACCTCTCCTAACGGGACACTGATTTCCATTAAATCCCTTGATATACTCCCATACTTCGCTTAGCTACCTAAGCTAATGAGCAGTTCATCACTTAGGTCATGAGCTGTACGACTGAGCCAGATTTACCTACAGGATCCAGTTAAAAAATATATAATTAGTTTAATTTCAATTTGGCTGTCATTTTGTCCACCATTGCGACAGATGGTCTTCGGTACATGTACAATACGACCCAGCTGTAAATGCAGTGACTGTTAGAAGTTGGGCACCTTTGCAGTATTTGCATTCTGGACTTAAATGATCCCGATCATGATCTGCTAGCTCATCCATTCACACCAGGTAAGATGTATTTCTCCGATGTGCAAGACTTTAATAAGTGTTCAGATAGGTCGTGTGCACAGAGATCGGGCCTTCGAGTTATTAACCTGGTAGACGATTAGGACCAAGTTAATAATAATGGAAACGTTGTCCTTTGATTACACACATTTTAACAGAACCCAGTAGAAGCATAGACATAATAAATATGCAGGTATGCAAGTCATAATTCATAAGCGCTGATAGTTTCTTATAGATCTACATAATGACTTAAACGACAAATGTATTTTGTTCATTTTATAACACAAGTAGGTCGTAAGCGCAGTTGTCTTACATGTTGTCTTAGTGTGTTTTTTCTTTTTTTAATCTAGAATTGTTATATATCAGTAGGCAGATGTTGGGGCAGCTTTTCAATCCCATAAAGTGCTGTCCAAAACAATAATCAGAAGTTCTTTGGTTGACCATCTCCGGAATACATCGGTGTCTGTGCCACGCGTGATCATGCGATGCTTCTCCTGCATTTTTTCTGCAGATGTGATGATCAGCTTTGACGCATCACACATTTCCTGCAGTATCGTCGTTCAGGTTCTTGGTCAGTGGTTGGCTTTTAATCTTTGTGTTTTAAGCCACTTTAAAAACCTACGGATCGTTTCCCGTGATTCGCAGTGTTTCGCAGGAGCTGCATTGTGCTGCAGTGTATGACTCGATATTTTATAATAGTAATGTCAGGAATAATGGTTTTGTTTTTGTATAATGCACTTGTTGCTGTACTGGGCACTTAGAACAAATAGTTTAGGGCTCTATAATTACTGAAACTTTGCTCATATGGTATGATTCATTTTATCAATAGTTATCAATACGGACTGCACATTTAAGAAAGATTGTTTTCCTGTTCACACAATTTTGTAGAAATTCTCAAATCACTTGTCATTAATTTGTATTTACTCTTTTAAATATAAATATTTTTACTTTTCTGATTTAAATAATGTTAATTGATTTTTGATATCTGTTGCAGAAAAATATATAGACTAATCTGTAGGTGAATGATGTGTTTGAGGGATACAACCATCATCGTGCATTGTGTTTTTTTTGGGATAAAAATATACTTAAGCCACTTAACAGAAAGTAGAAACTGTCTCCAGGGTGTTCTGTTCTCATTTTGCATAGGTGAGGGGTGTTCAGTACACGAGTGTTTATGATCCTCAGGGTCTCAATAAAGCGTCGTGTTGTAGTTCTTGGGCAAGTGCACTTTGATGTGGCTTCCAGTTCTTAGCCCTGAAACCTTTAAATGGATCAAAGGGCTATTGTAGACCTGCGTTTGTCACATGGCCTGTCTGCTTAATCTGTAGTGATTTGAGCAGTGCTGTGTCTAGTCTGAGTGGAATTTGCCCTTTCTGAACACAGTGGTCATGAATATATTTCTAATCTGTGCCTCATTGGTCAAAGCTGATTTCTGGGGAATTCTGCAGAAGACGACATGCACAGTCTTGTCTGTTTTTAGTGATTTTTTTAAATAAGAAAATTGAGAAGCTTTGATGTTTCCAGAGAGATGTTGCACGTTCTTCATTCTGCCATCTGCTCCCTATTTCCTTTGCATTAGAGATGAATAGTGGAGGGTGAGGTGAAGCCATGGAGGTGTGAATTTGATAGAATGACAGGAAGTGGTCATTTTCTGGCAGCCATTTTGGTTCTTGTAATTGGCTGTTGCTTTGATATGATACGAGAAGCTTTATTAGTCCCTGGGGAAAAAGTCTTGTGCATACAACCCATTAATGGATGGTGTATGTGCAATTAAAAATCAGATTACACCAGACTTAACTACATCAAATGAGGATGCTTTCCTGATGAGTTTTCGTTGGGGGTGGGCATGGTGCATTGGGAGGAGACATAGTGAAGTATGATGGCAAATGTCCATAATGTGATTAATTGTTACCCTGTCATGCTGAGCACAATTTAGTAATTGTTTTAGGCTGATGTGCACTTTTTGTCATTGCCATTAATCCTGGCTGAGACAGAGCAGCTGGTTGTGTCAGAGTATGTGATTTTGTTTACTGATTTAACCTGAGCTGTGCTGCGTCAGTCTTTTTTGATGCTGCCTAAAACTATAAGTCAATGTGAATTTATGCACTTTAAACTGTGTTCATGTCAACTTCACTGGAAAAAAAATAACTTAATTGATAAAAGATACTTAGGATATCCTGTATGGATTTATTTTTTTCTTACTTTGGCCAATTTCTAGAAGCCCCTAAATGTAACCTACCTTTGCAAGGAGTGTGGCAGCGACTACAGAATGCTATCACATTTTGTTAGTTTTTTTGTATGCATATAAATTTGAACCCATTGTAAAACATTCTGTGTATAGCATGAGAATTTTATATGCATGCAGCCTGGTGACATGAAGCAGAGGGGGGAAATGTGACTGCTTATCTACTCTGTGTGCATCCTTGTAAAAGATGAGGACAGTCATTTTTGTGGTGATGTCTTGGGGCAGGTGTATTTGAGTAAAAATGGGGCTGTGTGTTCCTGACCTGGTATATCTATTTGGCTCGGACAGTATCTATATATTAATATGCCTGTGTAAGCTCCCCTCTTCTTCAGTTAAAAGCTCACCTTTAGTTACTTAAGGATTGAATGTGTTCTTTCTTAACCCCAGCCCCCCCCCCCCCAATACGTAGCTTTTGCTTTTTACGAATTTGGAGGCAAAGAAATTAAACGTTTTTGCCAGTGAAACCTTAAGGTCTCATCTTACTAGGGAAACAAGCTGGGGATCAGGCTGCAGTGTTCTTCAAAGATTTCTAAAATGGAAAAGTGCATCCATTCATATCCAGGTTTTGGTAAACTGTACCATCTTGTGCCGTTCATGACCAAAACAGCACGTTTTTATCATCACAATGTACAGTTTGCACGCTGGAATAATATAAATGGACAGGCATGCAAAAATGGATAAAAAGCTTGTGCCTGCTTCCGTCCAATAGGGAGCCTGTTCCTACTCCCATCCAATAGGGAACCTGTTCCTACTCCTCTATAATAGCAAGTCTTTGACTATTTCTATCCTATGCCGAATACATTGGTCATAAGAATATAGCAGTCAGTTCTTCTAAGCAATAAAGCTGATAATCAGTGTAATAGTTTTTGGTAGCTGCAGGTGGGGGCCAGTATGCATCATTTAAAACCTGCTTGCTTCCAATCTGCATTACCTGCTGATTATATATCCATGATGTAGATGTTCCTCATGCAGAGGCAGGGTGCATATTCTGTAATAATTTCTGGGAGAAATGGGGTGTTAAAATGATCATGGTAATTAACGTGTTTGCTGCAGTTGTTGTTTACTTCTCATTATTGGCCAGCCGTCTTCCCAGAATGGCTGATGGAGTGCAGGGCCATTCCGTGCTTGAAGGTTATCCTCAGAAACATCTGCTGCGAGGTCAGGCACACCATTCATGCGTATCTATCACAGAGAACACATGACAGAAGAAAACTTTAAGCACACCCATCAATTCACAGGTACATATATCTGTTTGGCAGACACTTTTGTCCAAAGCGATGTTCAAGCGAGGATCAAAGAGCCGGTCGACAGTCCCTGGAGTAATGGAGGGTTAGGGCCTTGCTGAAGGGCCCAGCGGTGACATCAGTCTGCCAGTCATGGGATTTGAATTGGGGTTTTGACCTTCTGATCACAGGCAGGGTGTTCTAACTCTCAGAGCCACATTCCGACCTAGATTCACCTAAAATACATGTCTGGCTTCAGGCAGGGAGTGCAACTAAACCCAAAACATTTCACACATGGGGCAGGAATCAAATATATAAGTGATCTTATTGAGTCGTTGGTGTGTTTGTGAGGACTGAACAATCGAGTGCATTTCGATAAGGTCATATGTTATTTCAAAGTTTATAAACTTTATTAAAACTTATCTTTAAGGATAAAGTTTAATATTTTAGGCGAATAAGTGTTTCTTTACTGTGATTTTGAAAAAAAAAAAACAATAGTAATCGGCAAAGAAGGGAATTATTTGTAGGTATTAATTTTATTTGTAGCTGAAATAGTACTGTGGATTAGCTGCAAGAATGGCAGTGATTAAACATCAGACCTTAAATATTATAATGTAAAAGTACATTATAAAAGTCATCATCCTACTGTAAACTTGTTTTAATCTTCTTTTATATAACATTACTCTATAATCTTCATTTATTAACTGGATTTTATTTTTGAAATTGAAGCTTGTGAATGTTAATTTTGTACTTTAGCACAGTCATTTGGACAAATATGCCTAATCATTTGTACAGTAGCTGCATTTGTCATCATTTGTTTCCTGTTGTGAGAGACTAATCCTTAGCAGGACTGGGTGGAGAGTGATTCCAGTTGGAGGGCAGACTTTCACTGACCACACCCTCTATACGCTTGATTGGCTGGAGCAGCCAAACAGTTCAACACTGGCCAGTAATCTATTCCTCCCTAACCCATCCAACCAGGTTTGGGCTCTGTGAGAGATGACCCCATGTAATATTTACATGTCTGCTACATAGCTTGTCTTTTGAAGCACAGACGTTAGTGCACGGTGACTCTTAACCTACTCATGTCCTTCTCCTCTTCAGTTACTATTCCTGTTGTCTGGATCAGACTCCTTTAGCTCAGTGTGCGTGAATAGGTTTAAAGGGATTAATCGGCATCAGTCTGAAATGAAATTTCAAAACAGTGAGAGGTACAGTCCCAGAAGACATCTGTAATGAAAATGTTGGATTTTTTATTCCCTTTCCTGAAATGATGCTTTGTGTTGTATAATATGGCAAGGTCATCCTAGCTATATCAGGACAAATTCATTAATGTAGGACTTCCTTACATTACATGCACAAGAAATCATTATGCTGTGGCATCATGTAGGCTAAGAGTCATTCAGCGTGTATGTATTATACATTACTCAGCTCAAAGCTAAATACCACTTTGGCACTTTGGCATTGAGCAGAATGTGGTATTTTCCTGGTTAGGAAATACTCCGTACCCTCTTCCTTTCCATTTAATAGCAACAAAGTTAGGGCGTATCCAGCAAGGGGAATATCTGTACTAGCATGTATGTCTCTGTTTTGAAGGCATCTGTCCTCATCTGTCTTTAGATGAGCATATGTATGCCCCTACATGCCCTTTTCTCTTGTGGTGAAGGTGGCTGTGCGTCTTTAGAAATTGTTGCATGTTTTTTTTCATTAGCATCCAGCTAAATGTGCTCTTGGACCAGTTAAGCCATAAAAATAGGTTAGAATGAAGACTGACAAGAGTCTGATTGGAGTTTGACAGGCCTGCTCTACATTGGGTATGTTTATATGTGACACACGCTCCAATTTAGATTAATCGCCCAAATGCTTTCATCTATTTCCGAATATAGCAATAAGTTCAATAAACATTTCCGGTTTAGCGATTAACGTTGATGTCCTGCGTTTATAATCTTCTCTGCAGTTTCTGTAATGCTTGATTAGCTGTTCCAGTCTTTTAAATTGACAGAGTACTATACTGTACTTGTATGACATATGTCATCAGGAAGGATAGAGATGTGTTTATCATAGGATGATAATGCTCACAGGGAGGGTGTGTGATGTGTTTTAATTCAGTATCTTCACCAATTGGTCTCTCTTGCGTATTAACCCTGGACAGCTCTCCAAATGGTTGTTATAAAACTGTATAAACAGCATTGTGGCTTTTAAACTGCTTTTCCAGATGAATTCATGAGATTGCTTGGAATCATCAGAATGGCTGCTTTTATGAAGACTTAAGGTAGTTACAAGCCCTTGGTTCACTCCCTTGTTCCCTGCCTGGTTATCTATATATGTGTCTTCTTACCTGATTTTGTGGATCTGGGTCTTAGCAGACCAGGTGAGTCCCTAGAAATTCCAGAGAATTGCTGCATGTTTTTAAAGGCCAACTCTAGGGTTATGAATGTGTGCAATGGATATTAAACACTCTTAAATCTGTCACTTTTCTCTTAGCCCAAAGGGTACCTAGTATGATACTTTAACTTTGTTTCTCGGACTAGTCCTTGGAGATCCCCGGACAGCCCACATTTCTGCTCCCTCCCAGCTCCCAGCACCCGAACAATCAAGAAGACCGGATACCTGACATAGGTGTAGTGTGAGCTGTGAGGGAGCAGAAATGTGGGGATCTCCAAGGACTGGGCTTAGAACCACTGCTTTAAGTCTTTGGACCAGCCTCCTGTGATTAGTTCTGTTAGGGCTGTTTTTTTCCCCCCAAGCTATAGAACGCAGAACAGCAAACGTGTTAAATGTCGAATTTAAATATCGAATCTTTATTCACCCTATACTGTATGTCTTGTAGGAATTGTTCTGCTGTCTTCCTGACTGTCATTGATAGCAGGTCCTTTACGGTACGTACCTGATTGTAATGTGCTGGATTTACTCTGTAACTTGAGCATTTGAAGAGCACTAATAATGCATCTGAAGCCGTTATAATGTGCCTAAGGGGCGACACCGTGTCTGCCTGCACTGGCTGACCCCATTACAGTGGAGGTTACAGTGAATTTGGAGGCTTGCTCGGGATCCAACGGCGTTTGCCAAGCCTTTCGATCGCTGGCCAGCCTGGGCCGAGAGCGAGGCTCGATGTGGGTCGCTGTGTGACGGTGTGGGTTGACCTCTCAAATGGCCTGGTTCTTCCCAGCTTTTTAAATATTTTTATAAAGCTTAAATGTCGCTGTTAGGATTTACCCTCAAATCCGTGGCCTTTGTGTGCCCCTCAAGTGGATTGAGATGGTGGGGGGGTGCAGTGTGGTTCACATTTGCATGTCTGTGATCTCCTCATGGCCAGAAAGGGCCGTTTAAAGCCAGCGGCTGGGGATGGTGTTTCTTCCAGCTTTAACAAAGCCAGTCCTGAGAAATCTGACCTCTTGTGTGAAAAGAACCTGCAAGTAGCTTTGTGGTGAAGGAATTAGGCTATAAGAAGCTGACACCCCCGCTGTGTCAGCAAGCTAACTAATCATTCCGGTTACATATTCAGCTGTGTAACTCTAACAGAGGCGCGATGTTATTTCTATGGGTGAAAGCAACAGGATTGTAATGTAGCTTAATCTAATGTAAAATATTTTTTTCCCCCATTTAATTTTTATTTACACCCTAGTCAACTGGGAAAGGCTTTGCTTTCGTCTGGCAGATTTATAGTCATATGAGTGTATTTTGGTTAATATCTGTAAAAGCATGTTTTTTTTTGTGTTGTTTAACACACACTCTTCTTTAAAGGTCCTATGGTATGTGCAAGTTTTCATTCTGCCAGAGTGCTTAAGAATTTAGTTATTTCCCAGGGACAAGTGTGAAGACCTAGATTTCTCACCGTGTAGGGCTATGGCCTGCGCTGAGATCACACGCTGGGCAGATTTGCCAGGGCATTGTGCTCATGACATCATAGCATGATGTAACAATAAAGAACACATCTCTTATTTAAAGAGGTTATCAAGGGCAGTCTAAGAGGAGGACCTGTACTGCTGATATTCCATTTCTATGCCGGAATTAATCTGGATAATTAGTTTGGAAAAATGCTATGTGACAGAATGCATGTAGCTGAAGGAGTTTAATAAAACTCTTTTCTGCTGAAACCTCTGGTCTAGGGTTAAGTCTAGACTTTAAGACCTTGTATTTTTGGTGACATTATATTGGCCAAAAGCATTACAGATCATTATTAAAAAGGGTTAAGGATATAAGTTTGGTATGCATTTTATTAAACTTTCAAAATGGCAAACTTCAGTAATACATCATATCGTTCTTGATGCATTTAAAATGGATTTTATTTAATAAATCAGTTATGAAATGCCATATCAAATACACCTGCTACCTTATTTCTCTTTCATAATGGTTTTGAATGGAGAATCACAGCAATTCCACTGGTTTTCAAGGTTTTTGAATATAGTGTGACCAGTGTTTTTAGGGTGGGGCTTATTTTGTGTGTTTCAACCTAAAAGGACAAAATGCAAAATCGTAGTTGCAGGTCTATGAATCTCCTTGGACATCAAATCCAATTTATACCAAAATTATTTATATAATATTATTTTATAGTAGATTCCCTAAACCCCATATTTTGTCATGTACATTTATTTTATTTAGCAGATGTATTTGTCCAAAGTGATGTACAAGCAAATAATGCTTGTAATGTGCTATTTGCAAATTGTGATGTGCAAATGGCACATTACAAACACATGGCTGTTGAGGAGCTGACTAATCACAAGCCACACTGGTCACTCTTCACAACATTTTGTGTTGAATTGAGAAAATCAGCATAACCATGGCAGCAGGTCGAAGTGTCAGACAATAATGCACAAGGGGATGGAGTTCTGTAGCTAAGTCTGTTTACCTTGCATTAAAAAAATTAGATGCATGACTCTCCTTGGTAATGTGATGTATGTAACACTGAGGGATCTTTTGAAGCTGTTTAGATTAGAACAATAGATTAAAAGGGGCCTAGTAAGACCATATAGGGTGATTTCTCTCAATGCAAGGCTAGTGACTCTGTGACACGCATTGAATCTCAGCGTGTTCTACATACACAGTGCACTGCATGGTGCTGTAAGCTTTAGGACCACCTGAAAGGAAGAGAAGCTTGCGGAGCGGCCACTGTCTACATTTCAATGGTTATTTTCATTGTAATCATAAACGGCAGCATTATGATTAGTCTCCACATAAACGATATATCGACTTATCGTATAGAACTTTAATGATATGAAAATGAGAAACTTTGTTAAACTGTAGATAAGAAACGTTGCTTGTAACACACATCAGCCTATTGTCACAGAAATGAACGCAGTCCCATCCAATCACAAGATAATGTTTTAAGAACTGACAGCCTACGGCCAATAAATGCACAGCTAGGTTGATTGAGTTTGTGGAGCACGCCACCGGCTTATTGCATATTGCATAACTCTACTCCATATATGTTTTTGTTTAATTTCCATACAATTTAATTGGCTAATCTGAAGTTTTGTCTCACTATTCACACTAATGAAGAAAGAATCAAATAATTTTTTGTAGGGATGCTGCTCTTAGACAAGGTTAGACTAAGGAAATTAATTATGTAAACTCTGACGGAAATGTGTACTGACGTTTACTTAATGTTGCAGTTTTTAATGCAATTTAGTTTTTCCTAACAAGTTTAAAGAATAATTAAGGAGCAATGCATTCTTTCAGACATTTAGTTTATACTGCTGTGTCAAATCTTTGCTGATTGTATAGTTCCAGAGCTGGTGTAGTCAGACATTACTGGTATCGCATTGCAGGATGTTGCATTAATTGATTCATCCCCTTGGCGACTGGCTGAATAGTGTCTTTGGAAATGTCTGATCAGCTATAATTGTAGGTGGTGTACTTGAATGTTGCATCCATAGCTTTCACTAATCAGAATGTCTTTCTTTTCTCACCTTCTCTAGCTGTCTTCTCTGTGAATATCAATGACCCTTTTGGGGGTCGATGGAAGAGAAGGCTATCAGCACGCCTACCATGGTCTCCAGGCTCCCCAAGTTTGGTGTCCGCCCTGAGCCTGGCTTGGCCTCTCAGCCGCATGGATCTGGCCAGTCGGCTCCCAGTAACGAGGGGAAGGGCACTGGCCTGAAGAGGCCGAACGGAATGGTGCGCATTCCCTCGTTTTCACTGAAATGGAAGAAGGAGGGAGCTACTACCCCTCCCAATCCTGAGGAGGTCGTGTCAGAAATGGGTGAAGAGTGTAAAGAACGAAAGGTGAGTAGCACGAGGGAGCTTAAGAAACCCTCCACTGTAGCTGCCATAGTGCAACGGCAGGCTTTGGCTACGTCAACCACGAATGGAAAGCCTGCCCAGACGGCAGCCAAAGCAGACGCCCAGCCAGCAGCTAAACCGACCGCTAGCGGGAAGCTCGGCATGAATGGCGTGAGCGGCAGCGGGGTCAAGGTTCGCGCTGGGTCGGGCCTGCCCCGCCCAAAGGTCAGCTCCGGCTCTGCCCAAGCTGGGCCCCAGTTAAGTGACAGCCTGCAGTCCCTCCCGCCAGACCCCATGGTTCGCTCTCAAAGCTTCTCCCACTTCAACCAGTCGTCGTTGCCCATCGCCCCGCCGATGACGCGCTCCTTCTCCTTCAACAAGGCCGTGGAGTTGGCCAAGCCGCCATCAAGCAAGCAGACACACTCCCCTATGCCTTTGAAGTCCGGCCTTGCTTGTGGTAGGGGATCTATGAGCAGGCTAGCCGTGCCGTCCAGCGGGGCGACCCCTACTGGCCACCTGAAGAAGCCGCTCCTCCCAGGATGCGCGCTTAGCAGACCCACGGCTCTAGGCTTCAGGCTGCCTCGACCTTCTCTCATCCATATTCCACGTCCACTCTTAGCTGGGAAAGAGTGCGTTGATAGCACACCTGTTGACCAAGGCATGGACTCCATAGAGACACCTTTGACAACCTCAGTTACCCTGAGTGACCAGGAGGGGGTGCTAGCACCTAAGAGTCAGTTGAGGGGTGACCCGGCTTTACGAGAAACGGAACTCACAACGCACTGTCTGGGGGATCGGCTGGAAGACATGTCGCTCTCGTCCGCCTCCTCGCTGGAGCACAACGACACCAGCGAAGAGTACCTTGACGACTTTGATAACCTGGGGGACGGTGGTGGCGCTCTGCTGCTTCCTGTCCACGGGGGAAGGCTGCTCCAGCCGCAAGCTTACTCTAATGATGACGTCCCCGACAACAGGCAGCGGGGAGCCCCCCCCGTTCAGGGAGCCCCCTGCAGCTTCCTGTCAGATGACCACGCCGGTGAGTCTCCCAGCACAGCACTGGATAAGGGGACATATGAGCCGTAACTCTGGCAAATAAATGATTTGTAGTTACTAGTTTGTAGAAAATTATGAGGGTGTATGTGTAAAACGGAAGGGAACACTGTGTGGCTGTCTGATCCTGCTCTGCTTGCACAGAAGATGTCCTTAGGTTTGGGTACAGCGTCTGCTAAGTAATGTAAAAGTTGCCGCACACTTGCAGGCGGGGGCGTAGACAGAAATTCTGAGCCCCTCCCCGACTAAATGTCACCTTTGCTCATGTGCAAGGATTTGCTGAGCTAATGGGGTATTGGGCCACCCATGGTAAAAATAGTTATTTTTAAAAATTTACTGGGGGGGGGGGGGTACACTACAATTTAGTGCCCCCATAAAGTGCTGGGCCCCCTTAATCTGCCAGGGTATCATGCAGGTTATGCCTCTAGATTGACGTGTAGAGACTGTTCAGAGAGTAGCGCAACGTAGTCCCCTCTACTGCCTGGGAAAAGGATCCAGATCTGAAAACAAGTGTTTAGAAGACAGACTGATATAATATAGCCAGTCATCAGCAAATGGTCTCAATTTCCGGATGCTTTCTGCAAATTGTATTTTCCGTAATCTTTGATTGATCGTGTGTGCATATTCGCAATAAGCTTCGAATTTGACAGGGAAATAAATGCTATATAGTGCCAGACGTTGCTTCTGTCTGCCTTACTGTAAAAGATAATGTTCCATGCTCTACGCAGCAGATAAAAAATAAAATAAAATCCTAAATAATGAAACTGCACAGTGCCTTTGAATGAACGGATGAATCTCGCGTAAGATTGGCTGCTTGTATTGTGAGATTTCCTGCTAATAGCTAAATGGATAAAAGCAAGGGCTGCGATGGCTTGTCCTTGTGTTTCTTTAATTTCTCCTGGCTTACCTGCAGGTGGTAGAGAGAGCTTTTCGGCGTGTCCTGCTGCTCTCAGCCTTTCCCCGGTGGTAGATATCCCACATGCCTCGTCTCTGGAGCTCTCCCCGTCCAATAGCTCTGGTGGCATTTACATGTGGGACGAGGAAGGCCTCGAGCCGCTGGGTCCGTCCGTGCACCTCTGCGGCAGCTACGACTCTGACGTTAACAGCATGGTGAGTAGGTCACGTGCACCCTGACTGTAATCTCCGAGTATAACTCAGAGATGAAACGTGTATGTAACCTCAAAGAGACAGAAAGTGTCAACGCACGTATTAGCAGAGGATTAACCCGTTAATCAGTTTCAAAATTAGCACCAGACTTATTATAACTGACATTTACTTTAATGAATATATTTGTTTATGAGCATCTTTATAGACTGGCTTTACTTTTTTTTTGATAATCATGTTTGATTTGCTACTATTTCACAAACCACAGAAATTTTTACAGCGTATTTTAAAATCTGTGAGGGCAAGTTCATGGTATCTTAATACTTTTTGCATTTAGCTTTTGCTGTAATGCTACTTTGAGAAGTAGAATTATATTCTCAACAGAAATGACTATTTTCATTTTAAGAAATGTCTTTCTTTTAATACAGTTTTGCATTGTTCTTGAAAGGAATTTGTCTAAAAGGACTTCCAGTTTCCAGTTTATATTTCATCTTTTCATGCAGCTGGGTACATTGCAAAACAATTCTGCTTAAGTATCTTGGTTCAAGGGTGCAACTGCAGTCCATGTTAAAGTTATGCCCTTGACAGGATGCAGCCAGTCGTGTTTAGGGTAGGATGTTGGTCATATCCTTTGTCGGGCAGAGCAAAAAAAAAAACAAAAAAACAAAAAAGGGGAGTGACTTCATTCATCAATTCTGAAAAGAGGCACAGAAGCAGATGCAGCGCTTCATGATCCATTCCTGCTTTGTGAAGGTTTGTGCTTTGTTAGGCGATTACAAGGCGATCATAGAAAATACACCCTGTTTACTGCCCATAATTTACTACTACTGCTCTTACTAATTATTATTCTTCTTATTGTTGTTGTTGTTGCAATAATAATTAAAATTACACAATTATTTAATTATAATCATATAATAATAATGATTATTATATTATTATTATTATACACAAAAACATTTGAATTGTGTTGAATTTGTACTGAATATTCATCCGCTAAATTTTCGTTACCTGGGGACTGTCTTTAATTAATATACAGTACGATGTACTTTATTGACCAAAGGATGAAATTCTTTTGCATTCACAAAATGCACAGGTGCAAACATATAGTGCCAAGCAGAGACGGCACACATAGTGCAAACAGTACACAAACACTGTATTATGCAGAATATTATTACTGTTCTGTCCTTGGTGGGGTCATGCTTTCTAGCCAAAATACCACATTCTTCTAAATTATGTAGAATTCATGTAAAACACTGGCATTAGAGAGGGAGTAGCTGTGTGATCGTCTGACACCCCACCTCTTTGCTCTCCTCTACGACTACCACGCGGCCACGTCTCCGCACTTCATTGTCCCTGCAGCCTCGACATTTGCTTACTTTGAACGTTCAAAGTGATTCATGCCTCGGCTTCCAGATCTGCTTCTCTTAGTAGGTTTAGGAAACTCTTGACCTACCCACTATGAAAATTAACAGTGTTTCTGGTTGTTGGCCCGTGTCATAGACAGAGCGACTTTCTGGTAGCCATTTTTCAGGCTGAATGAAACCGCCTTTTTGACTCTTACTCATGTTTTAGGGCTGGTTGCATACAGGGTGTTCAGTCAGGGAGGCAGTCACTTCTCTGCTTCAGAAACTGGGTGTATGTTTTTTTTTTCCTTCCTTAAGATTTTTATTTTCGGCTACATGTTGCTCATCCTGATAATTGGTCTTTGAGTTGGGTGACCACTGGAAAACCGAGAAATGTCCATGTAAAATTTCGGTAAGAGATAACTACAGCCTGTTAAACATGATCTATTATATTGACGGACGTTATAATGATTAGTGATGATTTAATGATGCTGTATTTTTGGCTGCACAGTTGGTTTTAAATGCCATGCAAAATTCTGTGAGAGATAATGTAAGTAGCTGGTCTGTAGTGTATGCTTAAATCAATTTGAACAAATTATTGTTAGCTTAGCTTATTTTGGTTTATTTTGAAACACTGTAGTAAAACTGCAAAAATATTGTTACTTGACAAAACTCTGTACACAAACTTACTTGCAGTCACAGTAACATGTATTTTCTGAATATTACTGTAATAATAAATTAGACATAGTTGCGTACTGTACTTTACAGTATTTATTTTCTGCAATTACTTTTATGTGTTTTCTTATAATATCTCTATACTATACATTGTAGACATTTGGATCAAAGTGGTGGTAAACAGCCGCAAAGTAATTTAGTTGTTTTTCTCTCAGAGGCGTGGTGTCAGTTCTTGGTGTGATTGTAACATATACGTACAATCCAGGTATTTACCCTAAGAGGAATTGGCGTGTTTTCCAGGGTGTGGCCGAGCATTATGCTGTGCTGCTTGGGACAAACTCCAGGCACCTGCATGTACTTGCCCAGGATAAATGGATGGATGGATTGATGGAGGGATGGACGTTATTTCTCATGTTTTCATCGTCTTATCGTGGCTAATCTATGAGTTTAGGGAGACCCCTTGTGGACAAAATTGTTTAGTTTCCCCTTTCTGCCAGGATAGCACTGAATTTATAATGCTGACTGTCGTAGGAAATTCACCAAAATACTGCTTCATGCATAAATTTAACTTTGCGTCATTAACAGTCACAAAAACCAAGGACGTAATTAATGTTCTGCACAATGGATATATCCAAAAAGAAAAATATTTCCACTTGGTTCAGTTGTGACCTAAGTTGTTTTCCCAGCCTGGCTGAGTATAGGTTTAAGTACCAAAATGTCAAATACCGTACAACTAGCTAATATAATAAGATAAATTTACTTGCAGTTCGTGACTTGAAGAACTGGTTTCTTTTGACTCTTGTTGGAGATACTGGTCTCCCCTGAGCCTCCAATGAATTAACATTCCAGGGATGTTAATTTAGCCCTTAGCTTTCTGCTGTCACCTAGAAATGAACAATCAAGGAGCCATATTGACCAAAATGCCAATTCCATCCAGCCAAGTGCTGACTCAGATATTCCTCCTTCTCCTCATTGCAGGTTTTGATTTTTCCAGGTCGACGTTGAGTCTTGTTTTGTTTCTGCACTGATTGTAGGACTGGGCGATATCACATCGATATTATATCACGCATGCGCAACAATCACCAGCAGGGTTTCCGCGGGTCTTAAAAAAGTCTTAAATTTACTCTTAGAAAACCTGCAGAAACCCTGACCAGTCAGATGACCGGCAAGATATTTGGTGCTATACCGACTTTTTTTTACACCCACAATTTGTTAAGCAGATTAGTAGTGCGGTTAAAATATTAACGAGATGTGTTTTGTGACACCCGAAAGTTAGTCTGTGTTATTGTATTACTGTAACATCAATGTGATGTCCCCCAGCCATAACTGACTGTAGCAATTGTGCCGTAATTCATGCAGTGCACCGTCGTGTTTAAGATAGTGCTTAAACAAAATTGCAGTTGTATAAAGGACAGTCTGTACCAGTAAGGGTAAGATGCAGTAGAATATATGGGCTCTGTTTACAGTATTGAATTTAGTGCAGCAGAAGGCTGTGAGCTGACGTGGGTTTCTGCAGATGTGACTGGATGGACAGCTTGTCTACCTGGCCGGTGGTACCATGAAGGAGACGGGGTCTCGTGAAAAGGCAGCAAGTTTTCTGGTGAAGCCAGAAACTCAGTGCTTTGTAACCTGAGGTTGTAAACTGTAGTTTACAACAATTCACTAGTATTGTTAGCCAAATGGCTAACAAATTGATGAAATTCATCACTTATTTAGAGTCAGATCTGTTTTGCGTATTTACTGTGGATCTCGTGGAACAGCGTTTTCTTAGGAACATCATATCTGAAAGCACGTAATCTCCCGCTAGCCAAATGTGGCTTGATCACTGCTTGCTTTGCTCATTTCTCTCCACCAGGTGGCAGTGTGTCTGTACAGGAGAAAATGGTTTGGGTGTGAAGCCAAGTTGGCGCTGGTGGGAACCCAGTGCATCACGCTGTGCTTCATTCGCAGCTCTCTGCAGTGTCCCCTCGGGCCCGCGGCCCTCTTCCCTCCATAATCCTCCTCAGTGATGTAGAAGAAAAACTGCTAGCGTGGAACAATGAGATTCAAAGAGTGAAGGAAAACCAAAGAGCTTAAGTTGTTCCCAGCCCTTGACAATGTTCTAATTCCACTCATATATTCTTGTTACTATGACCTCTAGCTGTCCTACAGTGCTGTGTGTTAACCTTCCTGCTCTGTCATACAAACACCGATATCCAGCACCTAGCCCTATCATAGAGTCCCCATCCAAGCCATTAATTAATACATTTCCTGCATTATTCAAACGGGAGACAAAATGCAGAGAGAGTGCAATTGGATTTCGAGCTTCTAAGCAGCAGGGGTTGTCTGAAAAATAAGCAAATGCAAATGTTTTTATTGTAGTAATTACGTGTCACTTGTATTGCCAGTGTTTTCATGAGAATATAGTGAAATCTCTCTTTAATCCGTGCTCTCCAACATCAAAGCTATGCTTGCCCCTTGATTTATTCCTGTCTATTTTTAGTCTGTGTGTGCTTGGGCTGCACGTGAATGTCATTTTATTCATTTGTCTTTAGAATTCAATGTGGGTGCCAGTTTCGTTCGAGTACTGCCGCCTTTCCTGAATGTCGATGCCCCCCACCGAAGCACTTATTGAATAAAAAGATGGAATGTAATGATATCCGTGAGTGCTTCCCAACAGCATGATGTCATAGCCTTTCAGCATATTGCCTGTAACTAAGGGTAACACCAATCACGTTGGGAAGTATGACATTTTTTCCTTTTATGAGAGAACGGGAGATTTTTGCCGGGGTTTAAGGCCAGCATTCCTTCAGCTACGATTCAGTGCTGTTGGTCAATCCTGTGCCGCATGCAGGATCTATTAAATACTGCAAAGACATCCTTTAAATAATAAAAAAAATTTGGTAAATTGATTCATGTTGCCATGGCACTACAGAAATGTCCTCTCTAGGATTTCAGGGTGTTTTAGATACAAACTCTTCAGCAAAGTTCATTATTGTTATGATAGGA